AATTTGGTTCTTTCAGGGATGCTAGATTTTCAGTTTTGATATGTCAACTGAAGAACACAGAATTCTTCTGGGAAGCACTGTTATTCTTAGAGGCCATCAAGTTGAGTCCTACTCATATTGCCCTCATGCAAAATATAATAAAACTCTGCCAATCCTGCACCTTCCTCACAATCATTGTCTGAGCCGATTGTTTGAGTCCATTGTTGCAGCCATTATCATAAATGATATCATTGAGGATCATCCTCTTTTTTTTTCTGATCCCCATCCACTTTACCAAGCATAACGTGCTTGTTCAGGGACTGGTCTCTTCTGATAACATGTCCAAAGACATGAGATGAAGTCTCACCATCTTTTATTCTGAAGAACATTCTGGTTGTATTTTGCCAAGACAGTTTGTGGCAGTTTTGTTTTGTTTTTTTTTTTGGCAGTCCACACTACTTTCACCTTCTTTGCCAACAGCCATAATTCAAATGCTTTAATTAGTCTGCAATTTTCGTTTCCCGTGCATTATCTCACTTTCACATGCATACGAGGCAATTGAAAATACCATGGCTTAAGTCAGGGTCACCTTAGCCCTGTAAATTCCATCCATGCCCTTCAACACTTTAAAGCAGCCTTGTGCCGTGGATTTGCCCAATGCAATGTGTCCTTGGATCTTTTGACTACTGTCTCCATGAGCATTGACTATGGATACAACCAAAATGAAATCCTTTGTAACTGCAATCTTTTCTCAGTTCATCACGATGTTGTCTCTTGGTCCAACAGTGAGGATTCTGCTTTTCTTTCTGTTGTGCTGTAATTCATAAAGAAAACTGCAGTCCTGGATCTTCATCAACAAGTGCTTCAAGACCTTTGAGATGTAATTAATATGATCCTGCTAACTATAATCCAGTCTATAGCGCATTATAAATGGGGCTATGATCTCATTTTGGAGGGAGTTCTCTGTTACAAGGTTAAGGTCATATCCTGACCTTGGTAGAGGGTCTGTACCAAGTCACACCTTTGTTTCCTTGGGGGCATCTTGAAGACTACTTTACTAGAGAGTTTGACTGAAGACACCATCCTTCATTTTCCTTGGGGTTATGGTTGGCTAAAAGACAAACCAAACCTCCATCAAAGCCTTCCTCTATATCAGAGCCATCTGGGACACAGTAAAATGACAGGGCCATTGGGCGAACACTTCAGACTAGGTATTTGTCTGAAGTGGCAAAGACTGCGGAGACCAGATGCACCAGAGACTGTGGCATGGAGGAGAGAGCCAAGACCATGGGATACCTTCTCCTCATTTTTGACTAGACTATGGAACTGTGTAACAGAGCAACAGGGTCATATGGTGGAGAGGTTGAGGACCAGAGATAGCTCTGAAGAGAGGTATTGATGGGGCCCAAAGACTGTATTATTACATTTACTGATCCAGAGTTGTGATAACCTATTTACTTCCCTAATGAACCCCCTTAATTGTGAGTATTTTCTGTGAGTTCTATGGAGCCATAGGTAGAGCGTGGTGCGGGAGGAATGGCTGGTGTCAGACGAGGTAGAGGAGGATGGATGGTGGAAGCATGTCTGACTCCTCTCTGATGCCAATAGGAAAGCAAGAACAGGTTAATACATTCACCTCACACACAGTTTACAATTCCTCCTCCCTTTCCGGAAGCAAAGTTGTGTCATCTGCACATTGCCGGTTTCTAATAAGGCATGATGTCCCGTTCTTCTGCATATAAACGATTTTCTCCGATTGTTTGCTTAACATACAGATTAAGTAAGTATGGTAAGAAGATACAACCTGACTCACAATTCTGATTTTAAACTACACTTACTCCCTTGGCTGTCTATTGTTCTAACAACAGGTTCTACATTAACATAATGAAGTGTTCTGGAGTTTCCATTCTTCTCAGTGTTATAAGCCACACAATTGCTTGCCTTTTCATAGTTAATAATACACAAGTAAACATATTTCTGATATTTCCTGCTTTTAGCCAAGACCCATCTGATGTCAGAAATGATATCCCTTGTGCCATGTCTTCTTCTGAATCCAGCTTGAATTTCTGGCAGTTTCTCAATATCCTGCTGCAATCATTGTTCAATAATCTTCAGCAAAATTTTCCTTGCATATGATATGAATGATATTGTTCTATATTTTCTACATTCTTTTGGATCACTTTTCTGTGGAATGAGCCCAAATATGAGTCTCTCTGAATCAGTTGGCCAGGTGACTGTCTTCCAAAGTTCTTGGCATAGATGAATGAGAATTTCCAGTGCTTCATCAGCTTGTGGAAACATTTCAGTAAGGGTCCCCCAAATTCCTGGAGTCTTATTTTTTTGACTAATGCTTTCAGTTCACCTCACACTTCTTCCTTCAACATCACTGGTCCTACGCAGGCTGAATATCAACTAGATCTTCTTGGTTATAGGGGTTGTATATTCCTGCCCTCTTCTTTTAAAGTTTCAATACTGCAACTTGATGCCTGACTTTTTCCTGTTGTTCATTCAGCTTGAGATATTCTGCTTCTATTCTTCCTTTGTCACTTTCCAACTCCAGAGAAGGATTCAAGAGGTGAGACACCACCTCAGAAATGTATGTACTTAGATGGAGGGTATGTTGAGAAACTAATGCTTGGCACTGTACTATTTTATTTAATA